GCCGCCGCGCATTGGCGAGGGAGGACGAGCGTTGTTGACAGTTGCAGCCGCAAGTTTCGCGGGGGGCGCTAGTAGTAGGGAACACACCGAAGAGACGCGCGGGCGCGCTACGGCGAACGCGGCATTTTCGCGCCAATTTCTCGCTGCAAAATGTGGTTACATGCTCCAAACAAATATAGTCGTGTTCAGCTTGATGCGATCTGCCTCACAGTCCAGCTAGGTAGTTAGAGTGGCCAGTTAGTGTGCCAAAAACTGCTGTGTTCCACTGTGCGCGTCGAACGCAAAGAAAAATCCCGGTTTGAGCTACCATGAATTTCCATCGAGCGCTGAACGACGACAAGCTTGGCTCACCAACATCTCCCGGCAGGGATCTGGCGGAAAAGAAACGAGGGGGTACCCAGTGACCGCTCTTCGGTTTGTTCTCTTCACTTGACCGAAAATGACTATAAGAAAGGCACCAAACTGCGAATGCTCCTGCCAACTGCTATCCCGACGGTGTTCCCTAATTACCCGTCCTATATGCAAAAGCCAAGGGCTCCAAGGATAAGAAAGTGGCCTCGAAGAGAAGTACCAGATGGTGGTTCATCAGCTTGCGTGAAAATGAGTGCACGAAATGGCCCAGATGAAAGCAGGCATGAAGATGTCGAGCCTGATCTCTTCGGAGATCAAGAACATGTTGCACCAAGCGGGTCTTCGGACGGAACGTGGGACTGTTCATTGCCTGCTGATAGTATGTGCCAAACCAGTTCATGTACAGATAAAATGTCTCAAACAGACCTTGACCTTAAGCGGATGATAGAGGATGCGAAGAAAACGACAAACCGCCTGCAGCGGAAAATTTCCCGCCTCAATAAGTCACTGCAGACGCTCCAAAGCCAGCACGATACGGTTCGTGAACGGCTTCAAGCTTTCGAAAGCAACAAAGAAATCGCCTGTTTTTTTTTTTTTAGTGTACTAAGAGCCGCAGACGAAGGCCATAAAACCACCGAATTTATCAAGAATCAAGTGTCGAATTTCGCTTCCAAGAAGCCAGCGTACACTGAATCAATTCTGAGGGAGTGCGTCTTCTGGAAAGCGTGCTCCAACAAAGGTTACGAGTATGTGAGAACAAGAGGCCTGTTCAAGTTGCCTTGTCGTGCCACACTACAGAAGTACATCGGGCACTCAACAGGCGATATAGGCGTCACATCGCTCATAACAGAACGCCTCCGCGCAGAGTTTCAAGCGCTACAAGTCGAACAAGAAATTTTCTGCTCCCTAATCATCGATGAAATGGCGATACAGCAGAAAGTTATGTACGATCGCCAACTTGATAAGGTTTTCGGTCTCGTTGACATGGGTCCTGAGCAGCAATCATGTTCAACGCCTGAAGTGGCGAACAGGTTGTTGTGCTTCGTCCTGCGAGGGCTATTAACTGCCTATGTAATAACAGTTGGGTACTTCTTTACCCGGTGCCTCAGGAGTGAGCAACTTCGTTCTATGACAATGAATGTCATAAAGGCAGTCGAAGATGTGGGTTTCCGTGTAACGAGGATTGTTACCGGCAATCACCAGTCAAATGTTGCGCTCTTCAAAAGCCTTTCCGAGGACGGAATGCTTCCGCATGTAGTGCCACATCCATTGCGACAAGGTGATCCTCTTTTTTTTGTCTTTTGATCCGAATCACCTCATCAAGAACCTCAGAAATAATCTTGTGGAAAGAGAGATGATGGACCGAGATAATGTAATTCAAGGTGGACTGTACTTGAAGAAGCTACTCAGCATTCAGTCACAGCTACTCGTAAAGGCAGTGAGGTTCCTAACACAGTCACACGTTGAACCGAACAACTTAGAAAAGATGAAAGTGTCAAGGGCTACGCAAGTTTTCTCCCCAGTCGTAATAGCAACGCTTGAGTTCCTACAAGAAAACCCGCAATGCCACCCTGATGCGAAAGAATTTCAGGACTGTTTGCCCACCATCACCTTCATAAAAATGGTGTCGAAGTGGTATGACCTTCACAATATTGGCGCTGTGAAGCCACGCGGTCAAAGGGAAGAACCATTCTACTTGATCGACGACGACCGTCTTTTTGTGGCTTGAAGTAGACTTAATCACGTACATCGAGGAGATTCAGCTTTCTGGTGGCAAAACAAAAAAGAAAATGACGAAAGAAACATGCGGGGCAACGATAATGATGACGAGGTCAACTGTGGCCTCGTGAATTGATTCAACATCTCTTAGACAACAAGTACGTTTTTCTTTTTTCACCTTCATATTTTTTATCGCAGTTACGTATATGTGTATTGACTTAGGTATCAAACAAACTTTTTTCCAGCTTTCGCTACGTCTTGACCCGCGCCTTGAACAGCGGCCCCGTGGAGTCCCTCTTCAGTTGCTTTCGACCGTTTAACGGAGGTAACGATAGAGTTGATGCAAGAACCGCGGTCCTCACAGCCGAAAAGCTGTTAAAGGTATATTTGGTGCCCGTTGGAGAGCACACCCATGTAACCTACGCACTTTTTTCCCCAGGTTGGAATCCTCCAAGCTGCTAAGAGTGGAAACACTACCCATAGCTCCGAAACAAATGCACCTCTGAAACTCAAACCCCAAGAAGGCAACACCGCGGCCGTGCCACTTGCGGTCGTCCTCGGTGCTCAGCGGCTTTCCTATGAGCTAGAAGTATTAAATGTTTGGCTTGCTGTGCCGAATGACCTCCAACTAGCACCCCTAGTATACCTGGCCGGTTACATCGCGCGTGCATGTGAGGAGAAGGTAAGGACGGTTATTTTTAATCTTTGCATTATTTGCTGCATTCTTTCGAACGCATCGCTAGCGCGCCAGCCAGTCGTAAACAATGTTCACTTCACTTTCGCCTTCTTCGAATGCTAACTATAATATGCGAACCAGCAGTTCTCCTTCTTTCTGGAGGGAGAACTGCTGGTTGGAGGACCAGCAGTTCTCCAGCAGGAAAAAATGGAGGACCATGGCACGTCCATTTTTTTACCTTGAAATGCAGGCAAAATTGTTCTGCTGTATTAGAAAATATACTGATCTTTTAGAGATTGTAGAGCTCCAGTTAATAAACGCACGTTTCATTGTAAGCATAATACCCGGCATTTTCATTATTTCCACATGCCCAGCAAAGAAAACAATTTCACACTCAACAGTCTTCGAACTGGAAATATGCAGACGGATGCTAATTTAGAGTTATTATAGCTCCTGAAATACTCTGGAATGAATTGAAGGTTATGTAATCCACCGTCGCGCCAGCGCGGACAAAGGCAAACGTAAAATCATGGCCTTTATTCAAAAGTGATTTTAACGAGAAGCTAAAACGTTGTGCTATAGTTAAATGCCGTAAAAGGGGTCTGAAAGTTCTTTCAAGTCCTTTTGTAAAATAATATAAAATACGTGTATTGATCATGTGGCCTGAGGACGGGGCAAACTTGTGATAAGCATGAATTTAAAGCTGACTGTCGCAGGGGCGGGATGGCTTAGTCGAGGCCACTCCGTCTCCCTTAGTAGCGACAAACCATTTGTAACAAGGGAATGGGTCCCGTAGTAGGGTGGAACAAAGCGCTGAGAGGATATCAAATTCAAAGTGTCCGCTTGCAGCACGAAGAGTCGCGAGTTAAAACATCCCGGGAATTCGCGCGCGCACCGCTACTCCGCCGCTTTTCATTGTCCTTGATCGGTGACGCCGCGGCGGCAGGAGAATGAACTCGGCCTCTCCCGCTGTTTCGGGCGCACGCAGCAGTCCGCACCCTGTGCGCTTTGATCCAGCGGCCGTGCTACTGTTATGCGCTTTTTCTGGCAGGGGAAAGGCAAGCGCTGGTCTCGCCGGGCAAACTTGAGCGGGTCTCCCCTATTCAACGCTGTATGACCAAAATCATTGCTAATTACGACATAGAGAACCAGCAAAAATTGATTTTAAGCCTCAGATTGCAGCGTCTATGCATTACTGTAACTGTTACATTTATTTTTTGTCAATTTGTCCAATATGTCACTTCATGCAGCGGCCGCCGAACTTGTGCCGCCGTTCATAGTGGTACTCTCGATCTCTAAAGCTGGATGAAGATAACTAAGAAGCCTGTTTTTTACTGGCTACATGAATGTGAAACGAAGCTATAAATCAAGATGAAAAAGAAAAAGACAAATCTGTGAAAATTTGGTACTGGTGCATAAATAGCGCGCCGATTGCGCCGATGAAAAACGTCGGCGGCGGCGCGCCGACCAGTTCGCGTCGGCGGTGACGGCGCGGCGAAAACTCTCAGCGGCAGCGCGCCGACCAGTCGGCGCACACCTCTATGTACAGCCACATTCATCCATCCATTCACGGAGGAAGAGAAGGTTTCTTTCTCCGTGCATCCATCCAACCGTAGTGATGTGCGTGTGTGTGTGTGTATGGGTCATGACCTACTACACTCCTGACCTGCCCAGAGAGCACCTCTTCCAGCGCCCACGTTCTAGTTCATACCTTCTGCCGCTAGGGCCGTCACCTACGAGCGGCGTGGCGCTAGGCAGCACCTGTTCGCTGACGTCACCTTCACTCTTTGTAGTCAAATTTTAACCAACAAAGCACTCGTAGTGCGAATTTATGATCCACAATTTAGAAATATCCAGAAATAATAATACTAAAAGACATTCAGAATTTTTTTTGCAATAAAATGCACGCGACAACGCATAGGCTGTCCAAAATCATGTAAATCCACGGGTTTCCACGTTTGTCAACCAGTGTGCTATAAATTCTTAAGCGCACTGAACAGCTTACTTGACCAGCAATGTATGGGAAGAAATAGTCACATATATGCCGACAGTTCACCACAGAAAGCAGGCATTCTTATACCAGCGCCTACAAAACAACCGTAAAGAAGCAGACGAACAGGTTATAGGTAGCGCCACCTACGGCGAGCGATTGAACGAGAGCGGGGACACGCGCTCCCATAGGAACCCCGCTATCTGAACAGGTCAGGAGTGTAGTAGGTCATGGTATGGGTCACCGTGGTATGGGTAGGGTGGCTAGTATGGGTGCGCGTTAGAGCGCACAACATTTTGTCCTGTGGCGCTGCGTGCGCCTGCCCTTTGCCAAAAGGGATTAGGACAATCTACCAACTCTGTTCATTTGCGGGTTATAGTTTTGCCACAGAACACTTGTTTTGCTTTTACTACTAGTTTTGCCGGCGTGTAACAGAGGCCGCTTGCTGTTTGGGTCGCGTGGCTTTGCTTGTGCCATGAACTGACGCTCTAGTTCATTCTCGGCACTACGTAGTGGAAGAGAAGACAAATTCTACATTTGGTGGCGACAGAGTTGGCCCCGAGTTTTCGTCGTTGTGTGACCTACTGAAAACATCTACGAAATGTCGGCGCAGGTAAGCACTGGTTGAGGACGGGCATTCACCGAAAAACATTCTTTCACTTAGAGCTCGTTCGTTGGTGTCACAGGTCGCAAGTGAAACTAGCGTCACACATGTGACGCTAGATCCCGTTGGCTGCAACTCGGGCCAACGTTGCTCAAGCATTGTCGCCAGTTCTGGAATATACCCCTAATTTACTGACAGTGTATTTTGAGTGGCAGTGTTTGGCGCAACTCGCTGTAAAAGCAAACTGCTGTTTTCTTTTTTATTTTGTTTTCGTTTAACACTCGGAACGTTCATTGATGAGCGTAAGTTCATTGAACTGCTGACGTGCGCGGGTGCGATGACTGGTGGGCCTGTTTTATGTCGACGTTCTTGTGCGTCGTTTTCAGGAAAGCCGGCAGCGGTCAATATATTTGTCGGTCCCGACTGTCATCCCCGGAAAATCTTGAAAAACAACCACGCAGCGGTAGTTCTTAGAGAAAGATGAGAATAAAACCCCGGGAGCTGTTGCTAGACGCTCAACGTTGACTGCCTCGATTGACCCCGTGTCGACACGCCTTATTGCCAACACGCCATATTCATATCAAAGCTTAACTAGACAAATAAAGCTTCGGATTGAAAAGCACTTATTGGTTCCAGTCAGCAATAGTCCCAGAGAAAAAGCTTTTTTTTGAAAGCAGTAGTATGAGCAAAAACAGGCGCCAGTGAATATTTATGCTTATGTCTTGCTTTTCTGGAAGATAGACGTGTCACACTGCTGGGCAAACTTATTGTAACTTTTTTTTATTTACTAGAAAGAATTTTGTGCAGAAACGTTAACCGGTTAATTTTCCTTCGACATCACAATGTTTGGATGTCATTAGGCTGCATAATTTGTGTTGGCGAATCATGTCTTTTATATTTGCTAAAAATAAATGTGACCATTTTCCGTTGAAGTTTTTCAAGTATGACAACATATTTTTTACATTGAGGGCCCCAAACAACCGAGGCGTATTCAAGCTTTAATCTAATAGAAATGTTGTATGCCAATAACCTGGTCTCCTTCATGGAACATTTAAGTTTCCTTTTAAGAAACCGCAGTTTCCTAAGTGCAGCTGTGCATATGCTTGCAATATGGTCTGACCATGTAAGTGACTTCAAGGTGACTCCTAGGTACTTGTGTTTTTCTACTTCTTTGAGAGGGCTATTGCAGAGACAATAAGTGTAAAGGCTTGGAGTGTATTTTCTTGTTATCCTCGGGAGACTTGTTTGTCACTATTAAGTGCCATGCCCCACTTTTGGCGCCATTCATCTCTACTTGAAGAGATTGCTGAAGTAACAGGTGGTTGTTTACACAACATATTTCTTTAAAACAACACAATCGTCTACAAATAATCGAATAGATATGTCCTTATGTACAAAATCAACTAAATCATAAAAAAAAAATCAAGAATAATAAGGGGCCTAACACACTACCTTGTGGCACACCGGAAGAAGCACGTAGAGAAGAAACACAACCCCTGACCTTAACAAATTGACTTCGGTTTTTTGAATACGCATGAATCCACTTTACAATTCCCGAAGGTAGCCCAATATTTTCAAACTTAAACAAAAGTTTTCCATTAGGCACCTTGTAAAAGGCCTTACTAAAATCTAAAAAAAAAAAAAAAACACATCAGTCTGCCCAGATATATTTAAAACCCATGCGAATTCATGTGCCGTAGACCAAGCTGAGTTAACGTAAACATATTTTTTTGGAAACCGTGGCGATATAACGACAAAATATTATTTTTCAATAAAAATGTGTGAACATAATTGGTAGCAACATGCTCTAACATTTTATAGCAACTACTAGTGATAGAAACAGGATGGTAGTTTGTTAAGGAATGGCGGTCACCTTTTTTAAAAATTGCCACAACATGAGCTGTATGCCAATCGGCCAATATCACACCACTTTTGAGGGATGCATTAAAAAGGGCAGTAACGAAAAGGGCAGTGTTTAGCTTGCTTACATTCATGAAAAAAAATCAAGGTTGTATTTAATGTGGAAATAGTTGAAAATCACTTTTAAACCGCACAATACACCTATTAAAAACTAAAATGGGCCCAGAATAACAGAGAGCCATGCTAATTGGTAAGCATTCATTTTAAAAGACACGGACACTAGAAATAAATCAAGACACTATACAGGACGACAGATAAAAAACCAGCCACGAAGCTGCTCATGTACGTCTATGCACACCTAGCAATCCAACACTCGTGCGGGCCTACGTGACAGATACTGTTGAGGCATTTCATTTGTTCTTCATGCAAGCTAATCACCGACTAAGGCGCATGCGCCACCATTATTGCCAATCTATAAACATGTTCTTTAATTCCTGTGTATTCACCTGTATCTACTTACACTCACAGCAAAGTTGAAAGGTAAGCCGTCTGGTTACCGATGAACCCTGGTAAATACAGCAGCTACTTAGAAGTGGTCGCAGCTAAAAAGGACCCTATAAACACGGCAATCACCGATTTGTTTTTTAGTTGTATCAAAGAAAGAAAAGTCAGCAGCCATGAAAACAAAATCTACGTCATATCTACTTCCCAGTGTCTTTAGCCTGTGAGATATGTAACAAATCTTAAATGCGAAGCATTTCTTTGCGTACTGCTAGTACTTCTCGCGTCTGTCTGCATATCTATGTAGCTGCTTACATCGTGGGGCTCTCGTGCTCACCCCCTTAACTTGGCATGAACCAAAATTAGAATGGGAGGGTGTCGAGATGCTCCGCTGGGAAGGGTAAGAGCAGCGCTTCACAAGAGAGACTGCACGCTCGGAAGTCAAGCTCCAAAGAGCTCCACTTCATTCTCTCCAACATCCTACATCACCATGAGGGTGTGACTAGTATGTTACCCTCTACAGCTTCCTTCCAAAGCAGGAATGTACCCAACAGACATGCACAAATCAGTCACAAGGCCTCAGTCTGTGTGGATTTTTCAAACATCTTCCACATTGCGAGTATCGAACACCAGGAGACCCAGGAACTGCGGTACTTTCACGCAGCTTGTTCTCCGTCGCAGACTGGCCAGTTAAAACGTCCTGACTGGTCGGTGTTGACTGGAGCATCTGACATCAGGCCTGGAGATTCAGCAGTACATTCATGAACATTCATGCCTGTTGTATGGGCGAGGGTGTCTTGGATGAAGCGGATGAGGGAGTGCATAATACGGACGAGGAACTGACGCTTGGGACAAGATATCGACGATTCCTCACTAGGATACTGTTGGGCATCTGCGCAACATCAGAGCATGGCCTTTGAGCAGGACTCTGAGCAGGACCTAATAGTGCGAACCATGCACTTTAACCTCCCTGTTCGATTGCAGATAACGGGGGGGCTACCTGTGATGTGCTGAAATCCGTATACCTCGACAAAGTTCTGAAATGCTGTACAAGCAAACTGTGGCTCATTGTCGTTGATCACGGTATCTGGATTGCCATGTAGTGCAAAATGCTTTTCGTTGCGAGAATGACCGCATCATTCGATGAAGTGGCAGTGAAATAACTTCTGGTTATCTAGAGCGGTAGTTCACTACCAGCAAAAAATCTTCACCATCCACATGAAATAAATCTATGGCGACTTGGTCCTAAGGTGAGGAGGGAGTCTTGGTGTTGAGTAGAGGATGAGCCAGCTGGATTCTACTAGTAGGTCAAGAGCGAAACCAGGATATGGCTGTCTTGAGTTGGATAGTGATGTCAGGCCACCGAGCGAACTTCTGGCTTCAGCCAAACACTGGCTGATGCCTTGATGGCCATCGTGCAGTAATTCTAACATGTTCTTGTGCAAAACATTTGGTACAATAAGCCTTTCACCCATCATTAACTAGCTTTCACAGACATGGAAGTTGCTGCGATATTTCCAAAAAGGAGTCGTGTTAAGGGGTAACCGATCATGTCTAGGTCAGCCTCTAGTACGGTATTCTATCAGGGTAGTACACTCTCCATTCAAAGCCTGCTGGGTTTTTAAGTTATTCAGATGACCTGCCAAACTAGAGGTAAGAGCTGCAAGTACTTGGGATATGAAGAGTTCCACGTTGTTTGCTGAAACTTGAAGTGAGACTTGAGGGTTTATGGACAGTGTCCACCGTGGCTAGGCATTTGCCTGGCGCATAGCTGATGGAGAACTTGTACGGAAGCAGTCGTATCCGGAAATGTTGTACCCTTGGAGGCATGACATCGAGGTCAGCTGAACCAAGCAGTTCGACAAGTGGTTAGTGATCAGTCTCAGTGACAAACTGAGCAAGAACTCATCGAATTTTTGGACAGTCCACGCAGCAGCCGGAGCTTCCCGTTAAATTTGCCTGTATTTATGCTCTGCACTGGTGAGAGCTCTTGATGCAAAAGCGATTGGACGTCTTTCGCTGTTAGGTTGGTCTTGTAAAACAGCTCCGATTGGTCCATAAGAGCTTAGCATCCGCAGATGGGATTATTGCAAGTCAAGCAAAGCTGGACACCCCTCGAAGATTGTAGGAACAACAGACACGTTGGTACCCGAGTCTACTTTTAAGCGAAGTTCGTGGGAGGCATTTATTGCGAGAAGTTGAATGTCGCTGAGACGCTTCTTTCTTGAATGGAAAACTGCCGCTCAGTGTCCTTTATTGTGGCATAAGTTGCATACAGCTTTCTTGGCCGGGCAATCTTAGCAAGAGTGTGTTGAGGAACCACAGAAGTCGCTGATAGCATTCAATGAGACCCGATACTGGTCGGCCTCTGGATGAGAGGAGTGTGAGAGGGGCCTGAGCTGCAGGCACTGGCATGCTTTTTTCCAACAGCGTCTATGTTGAAAAGATCTACTTGCAAACTCCGGGCTTGTATTTCCTTGAGTCAGCGCATCTTGAAGAGCGAGGTGCGAGATGCGGCAGAGCTGGTCCAGCAGGCGGGAATCCAGTAGACCCACGACAAAACACTTGTGCACGAGACAATCTTCCAGCATAAGACGGTAGTTGGATTTCTTGACCATGTTTTTGAGCACAGTGTAGGACGCGTCAAC